CCTCGGAAGGCAGTCATATGTGTCCTCACACTTCAGCCCCAGAGCTGGTGCCCACACAGGGCAGACGTCTATGTTTGAATCAACCTATCAACAAGGCAACGCTCAGATGAGTGGACATCTGCACTGCACAGGGTCAGATCATGTTTTGGAAAATCAACCAACCTGGCTTGCATTCCGGGGACCCTGGGAAAAGATGACAGGACTGCCCCAGCCAACAGAACAACCCATCCAACAGGAGACATGGGGCAGGTGGCCTGTGCCCCCGAACTTCAGGCAACAGCGTGTGGTCCTTCTGCACATCATCGACACCCAGAACCCAGCTCTGCAGGGGCCAGTGCCAGAGCTTCCCCTCTGCTAGCTGTGGCAACCACGAAGTCCCTACACATCACCAAGTGTCAGTTTGGGGTGGGACCCCCACGAGAATGGGGGGTTCATCTTTCCATAAGGCGGGAGTGATCAAGTCTGCTCGAGTGTCACATACCCCACAGGAGGTGTTCCCCCCTAACCTAAGGGCTTCATTTCATTAAGGGTGAGGACACAGGCCCACGCCTTTAATCCCAGCACTCGGGAGGCAGAGGCAGGGGGATCTCTGTGAGTTAGAGGCCAGCCTGGTCTACAGAGTGAGATCCAGGACAGCTAGGGCTGTTGCATGGAGAAACCTTGTCTCAAAAAAACCAAAGAGTGAGGACACAGGAACATTCCTGAGTGCATGAGCCTATAATTAATTACCCCAAATAAAATATCTAACTTGAAGCCAGCATGACATCTCATGCCCACACTCACAGCACTTGGGAGAATGAGACAGAACTGCTCAAAGTTTGAAGGCAGCCTGGGCTACAAGGTGAGTACCAAACAGCCCTGAATACAGAATCAGAACATCTCAGAAAAGAAAAAAAGAAAGTCTAACTTGAAAAAGGTCAGTGCTTCCACAGACAGGGAAGCCCAGCTGGGGGTTCCCCGGAACTTATCAGGAACAGAGCAAGTAGCCTGAGCTTGGGTTTGAAGGGCAAGCGCAGAGTCGATGTCTCACACAGGAGCCCACCATCATCACCCCTTCCCTTCTGGAGCAGGTCAGCCCACACAGGCAGGCTAAAGGTCAACCTGCCTCCTGCCCACATGTGCACAGTGAGCTGGGACACTCACCCGAGAAGGTCAGCAGCAGAAACTACCTTCTGAGTCACACTCAGGCTGGCTCACCCTACCCACAGCACGACTCACCCAGTCACCCACGGGACTCCTGAGCTCATCAGGAGGGACACCCCACCACGCAGGGCCTCCTGAGTCACCAACAGGAAGGCCACTCTGGCCCTCCCTCTCAATGCTGCCTGCCAAGCAAATAGCTAAAAATGGCATCTGCATCCTTTATGCCAAAGGGGGTCATTCCGTGAGGTCCCCGTGTCCTAAACTGCTATAAGGATGAGGTCCCCTCCCACCTGTCAGTTCTCCATACCTGGTCCCCAAACTGGGTATTTGTGAGTGTGGACAGCATGGTTGCTGTCCTCTAAGAAGCTACCAGCACCTGCCCAGGGCGATGCCTTACTCAAGTGTGGGACTGCCACACTCCGTTCCTAATCTGCCTGGAGTGATGAATGTCTTTCTGTCCTCTGTGCATGTCCCCAGGGACACCAAAGGTAGCTTGCAGGTGCTTTTACAAAGGATTATGAAGCCAGTCCTGGTGGCGCATACCTAGCGCCCCAGCACTCTAAGGGGAAGCAGGAGGATGAGGCCAGTCAGAGTATGCTGAGACCCCATCTCAAAACAGAACAGACTGGGAGGGACAGCAGGTGGGAATGCAATGTGCTGAACTCCCACCTCAGGGGCAGGTGCACCTGCATGGTCCCTTCTCTCAATGCCTAGGTAATACGATCATTCAGCAACAGATTTTTCTGTTTGCTTGTTTACTGGGGGGAGGGACCTGAAACAGTGTCTGATACATGTGGGGCAGGCTTGTGTGGAACTCACTATGTGGCCAAAACTGGTCCTGAACTCCTGATCCTCCTGCCTCCACTTCCTGGGTGCAGGAATGGCAGGTCTGACACTGTGTGGAGTGTGCCAGGCACTAGCCCTGGCTTCCTAAGAAGCAGAACTTTCCATGGAAGCATAAAGCTAGAAGAGGGCACTGTGGAGGGGCTGTCTCTACTCAGGCTATGTGGGAGCCGATGTCCCCCCACACACACACCTGCTGGCCCTTGGACAGCAGTGTGACAGCCACAGCTGGAATAGCCTGCAGATGTCAGGAGCAGGGCTGGGCCAGCACAGCCAACCCCGCCAAGTGAGATCCGGGCCAGCGAGGGAAAGGCGCTGGGCGGTCATTCCCACCCGCCACTGGAAAGCCAGTTCCCGCCAGACTCAACTGAAGGCCTGATTCACAGGAGGTGGAGACTGGGCCAGGGTCACTGGGCTAGCTTTCCTCATCCCCAGGGAAGGAGGGGGCAAATGGCCAGCACCACTCCACTGGGTACCAACAGGGTTGTGACCGGCTTTTTAACCCTTCATACTCAGCTACGACAACTTTGGGAATTCAGGCTGGTGACTGTTCACTCAGTACGGACCTGGCAACCCAGCTCTTGGTATCCCAGGGACTACTTCAGTTTGGACAAGTCCACATTCAGGTGTCTGAAACTCACAGCCTCTAGTGACACACACACACACACACACATACCACCCCAGCACTAGAGGCAGAAGCAGGATATCACGGAAAGTTCAAGGCCAGCCTGAACTACAGAGTGAGTTCCAGGCCAGCCACAGCTGTATAACAAGACCAAAGAAATAATCAGGAAAGAAACACTGGACCAGCCCAGGTATCCTGTGACTAACAGAATGATCACCAAACTGGCTGACTGCCCAAAGGATGTTGTTGCCCAGCTAAAAGAAAAATTAAGGGCAACCCCGAGCCCTCAGACAGCGTGGGTGGGCGAGCCTTAGACACATTCTCCATGGTGAACACTCCAAAGTGACAGGCTACACGCTATTGATCATTCATTGGACTTTCTGAAACAAAACTGCCAGAAGACAAGGAGGGACAGCCAAGAAGCTAAGAGGCAGACAACAGAGGGACAGTCAAAGGGAGCTTGGGGGTGGTTCAAGTGTGCTGCACCTCAACTGTGACAGTGACCACAACTCACAGAACTGTACCCTGAGAAGAGTGGATGGTGCCGGGAGGTGGTGGTGCACGCCTTTAACCACAGCACTTGGGAGTCAGAGCCAGGTGGATCTCTGCAAGTTCGAGGCCAGCCTGGGCTACAGAGCGAGATCCAGGGCAGGCACCAAAGCTACACAGAGAAACCCTGTTCTCGAAACCGCCCCCCAAAAAAGTGGATGGTGACCCTTGAAGACGCAAAGAGGAAAGGATCCGATTTAAGTCCTAAGAGGAAAAGTATGAGAAGTCTGACCCTTCTCCCAAACAGTCTCACCAGACAACCTCCCAGACTTCCCGAGGCCCCTTTAGGCACCACCAACATGGGAGGACAACTTTTCCGATTTCCCACAGTCCTTCCAGTCACAGCAACAAGAGGGGACAACCTCTCCAACTTCTCAGACTGTAACCAGGCGGGTCTGGAACTCAGAGCTCCTCCTGCCCCTGCCGAGTGTCGGGTTAAAGGAGTGTACCACCATGCCCAGCATACACACAGGCAGGTATTTTTAAATGCCTATTACGCCTGCGCACATGGGCAGGTCAGAGAACTGTGGGAGTCAGTGCCCTCCTTCACCACTGTAGCAGGGATGGAACCCAGGTTTGACGACAAGAACCTACTGCTGAGCCATGCTGCCGACCCCAGGGGAGTCGACACTTGTGGGAATCTTTTTTTTCAAGACAGAGTTTCTCTGTTTAACAGCCCTGGCCATCCTAGAACTCACAGAGATCCGCCTGCCTCTGCCTCCCAAAGTGCTGGGATTGAAGTCCTGCGCCACCACCGCCAGGCAGCTGTAGGAATTTTCAAGGACACACACAGAGCTGCCCAATGCTAACGGGAAGCGGTTGAGAGCCAGCCGCAAGAGCGTCCCGGGCCACGGACATTATGCCATGGGTCCCCAGTAAGGATGTTAACTCAACAGCACCCACGGGCCATGCTTCATTTTCTACTCAGAGCACACACAGGGCCACCAGGGATCAGGACACTGACTTCCCCAGTCCCTCCTGGACTTCAGAACCCCCGGACGCCTCTGGCACTTCCACTTGGCCTATCACTTTCTACGAGTCATTAGGATTAGCGGATGACACCCCCAATTCTGCAGGGTCTCACCAGCCCTGCCCACCAACAAAAGGGGACAACGGGGACAACCTCCCAGACTTCCCAAGGCCTCCCGGGCCATGCCACCCAAACCGGGGGGACCACCTCTCCGACCTTGCAAAGCCTCCACAGACATTGGACCAACGTGAGAGACAACCGCCCCAGCTTCCCACGCTGTCACCAGGCCAGCCCACGGGCATCAGACGACACACGAGGCACACCCTGAGGTGACAACCTCTCCAACACCCCAGGGCCGTGCAGCCTGGCCCGCTGACACGAAGGAACTCTTCCGAACCCTCCCGCCCAGCCACCAGCCAGGGAGACAGACTCCCCGACTTCCTAAGGTCCCCTTAGCACCTGCCCACCCACACCAAAGGTGACAACCGGGAGGACGTGAGGGGACAACACGGAAGGACGACGACAGTACGAAGGGACGCGAGGGGACAGCACGCGGGGACGACGGCAGGCGTCGACACGGAGGCGGGGCGCCCCCGACCTCCCGGTCGCCCCCGACCTCCCGGGTCCCCGTAGCCCGGACCACAGCGTCGCCCCGGACTCAGGTCTGCAAAGCCCGGAGACGCGGGGCCTCCGGGCCGGCGGCGGCGGCGGCGGCGGCGGCGGCGACAGCGCGACAGGCCGCGTCGGGGCAACGGCAGCGGCGGGCGCGGGCCGGGAACGGCCGAGGACCCGCAGCCGCCGCCGCCGCCGCCGGCCCGGAGCCGCCGCGCCCCGCGACCCCCACCCCCGCCGCCCCGCCAGCACACTCACGTAGACCGGCAGCGGCCACGGGTAGACAGCGGGCTCGGCGCCCACTGGCGACTTGAGCCTCAGCTCCAGCTTCTCGCCCATGTCGGCGCGCGCGGCCGCCGCACCATGCTAGGCGGGCGGTTGGGGGAGGGGCGGGGCCGCCGGCGGGAAGCCGGGCGGGCGGACGCGGGGGGCGGGCGGACGCGGGGCGGACGGCGGAGGGCAGACGGCCCGGCCTGCGCCGCGGCCGCCGCTCCCGTGCGGCCCCCGGCTCCCCTCTTTGTAGGAGTCACAGGCCCGGGGCGTCTGGCGCCGCCGCCATCTTGGGCCGGCGTGAGGAGAAGGCACAATGAGCCGGGGGGTCGGGCGGAACCACTCGGCGCGCGCGCGCGGGGGAGGCCGGGAGCCGGGAGGCGGTGCGCGCCCAGAGCGTCCGCCCGCCGCGCCGCGCGCGCCACCCCTCGCTCGCCACGCCCCCTTGGACTCGCCCGCCTCCGGCCGGCGCACGCACGGGCGCACGCAGAGGCGCACGCACGTCCTCGGCTGCCCTCGGACGCCCCCGCCAGCCGGAAGCGGGGACCCGGGGAAACCCTGCGGAGGGAAGCGAGAGGGCGATCCGGCGGGGCGCGAGTTCAAATCCCCTCACTTCACGGGCTCGCTTTTTCTTTTCTTTTCTTTTTTTTTTTAATTTGTCTTTTCTTTTTCTTTTTTCCTTTTCTTTTTATGGATTTCTCAAGACACGGTTTCCCTGTGGAGCCCTGTCTGCACTGGAACTCTGTAGACCAGGCTGCCCTCACAGAACTCACAGAAATCCTCCTGTCTCGGCCTCCCATTCTGGGATTAAAGGTGTGTGTCACCATGCCCAGCTTCTTTTTATTCCTTAAAAATATTTGTTCTTACTCTTAATGCAATCTCACACTAACAAAACTATTGAAGAGCCCAGGAATGTGAAAAATGGTGTGCCTATAGGTATGTGCTAGGAAAATCGGAGCTGACAGCTGCCGTGCGTGGACAAGGTTAACCTTCAACAGCTGATTCTGAGGGACCCTCTGCCCCACTTTCCCTTCAGCTCCAGGGGGAAAGCAGCTGTGTTGAGATACCCACAGGCTGTCACAAACATCTTGAACACCCTGTAATCAAAACTTGTGAATCTTGGGGGCTGGAGAGATGGCTCAGTGGTTAAGAACATCGACTGCTCTTCCAGAGGTCCTGAGTTCAATTCCCAGCAACCACATGGTGGCTCACAACCACTTGTAATGAGATCTGGTGCCCTCTTCTGGCCTGCAGGGACACATGCAGGCAGAATACTGTATACATAACAAATAAATAAATCTTAAAAAAAAAAACTTGTGAATCTTGGACTGCACAGTGACCCAAGGCCTAACCCCAAGATTGTAAAAGTTCCTTGGACTCACCACCTGGTGTATGGCTTTTCTTCTCAGTGTCTCCGGGTCAGAAAGCCCGAACTCTGCCTGTGGCCCTGGCCAGCTAGAAGGCCCTGCAGTGTCTGGAATAAAGTTCGCTTCTGGTTAATAGACTTCAGTCGTCTGGCCCCCATTATTCGCCCAACCTCAGGACCCAACACTATAATCCAAGCACTTCGGAGGCTGAGGCAGGGGGAATTACAATTCAGGGCCCACGGAGTAAAATCATTCTTCAAGAACAAAGGCTGGAGAGACGGCTCAGCAGCTAAGAGCACTGGCTGCTCTTCCAGAGGACCTGGGTTCAATTCCCAGCGCCCACCCTGTGGCTCACAACTGCCTGTAACTCCAATTCCAGGGGTTCCAACACCCCTTTCTGGCCTCCATAGGCACCAAGGAAACTTGTGGTGCATAAACATAAATGCGAGCAAAACGTTCTATACACAAAAAAGGAAAATTAGAATCCGCATAAACTAGCCAAGTGTGGGTAGCCCACACCATGAATCCCATCCTCGGTAGGCAGAGGCAGGTGGATCTCTGTGAGTGGAAGACCAGCCTTGGCTAGAGAGGGAGTGTCAGGCCAACCAGGGACGCACAAGAAGACCCTGCCCAAAAATAAATAAATGATTGATCAACTTGGAGCTCTCCAGCTCCTCATCATGCTGCAAAACAAAGCTCTTCCCAAACCTGCTCAGAACAATATGGAAAGAGCTAGAAGCCAAACTGATTTCCCTCACAGCCCAGTTTCAACCTTCCTAATATCAAAGTTCCCCCCTCCAAAACCCTTCTGGAACTAAGTGACCTGCAGGTGACCTGGTGACAGCGCAGCAGCTGTTTCTGGGAAGCTGCTTCTCTCTTCCTGCCTCACTGGGAGGGAATTGGACTAGGCAAGGTGGTTCACACTCCTCACTCTAGCACTTGCTAGTCCCAAAGAGGACGATGGTGAGTAACTAGAAGCCATCCTGAGCAACCAAGGGAATTCCAGGCCAGCCCGGGCAATTTCATGAGACCCCTTCTCAAAAATTTAAAATCATGATAAAAAGGCATGGTCCTGCGATGTGAGCACTTTGAGAAAGTACTCTTGCCAGGCTTGGTGACACAGGCACGCCTTACCCAGTACCCGGGAGGCAGAGGCAGGCGGATCTCTGTGAGTTCGAGGCCAGCCTGGGCTACAGAGCGAGATCCAGGACAGCCAGGGCTGCACAGAGAAACCCTGTCTGGAGGAAAAAAACAAACGACAACAAAATAAATCAGAAACATTCACTTAGATTCCCAAAGGCCGGGCCTGAGCAGAGCTCAGCCCACTTTACCAAACTCTTCCTGCCTGAGTTGATTGGTTATCTCTTGTCTTCTAGGCTTGACTTTGTTTTCTTTTCGTTCTTCTTCTTTTTTTTTTTTCAGAGAGAGAAAGAAGTGCTCACTGTTCACTGTGTAACCCTGGAACTTGCTCTGTGGACCAGGCTGGCTTTAAACTCACAGAGATCAGCCTGGCTCTGCCTCCCGAGTGCTGGGATTAAAGGTGTGCGCCACCACCGCCTGGCCATTTTTTTTTTTTCCGGCCATTCTTTTTATCTGCTCTAATTCCTCACCCCCTCCAGAGGGGAGGTTCAATCCTGTTACTCAGTTTTCTTATTCAACTTGATATTACTCCAGGGGATTCCTATCCAGGGCCCTTCTTCTCACTTCTTGGGTATCAATTTCTACTTTCCCTTGTATTTATTTTCCAGAGTGAAACTCCATCTCTCCCCTATAAGACAGTACCCCACCACTGTGATCCCTAAGCCAATTCAGTGGTTTTGAGAGAATTTCCCAGATCCCCCTTGCTTTGCCAGAGGGAAGGATGGAACCTGATGCCTGCTGGAAGCTAGGCAGGCACTCTATCACCAAACCACGCCCCCAAGCCCCTCACTGGGGATTCTAGGCGGGGCTCCACCCTGACCACGCCCCCAGCCCCTCACTGGGGATTCTAGGCGGGGCTGCACCCCTGACCACGCCCCCAGCCCCTCACTGGGGATTCTAGGCGGGGCTGCACCCTGACCACGCCCCCAGCCCCTCACTGGGGATTCTAGGCGGGGCTCCACCTCTAACCACGCCCCCAAGCCCCTCACTGGGGATTCTAGGCGGGGCTGCACCCCTGACCACGCCCCAACCTTGAATATTTGCGATATAATGTCCTTAAGTTGCCCAAGAACATTTGAATTTGTGATCTTCCTGCCTCAGCTCCCCAAGTGCTGGGATTTGAGGGGATATGTGCTGGAATGTGGGGGTAGAATGTGCTGGGATATGGGGTTATGTGCTAGCATGTGGGGAATGTGGGGGATTATGCACAGAACCTCAAAAGGACACTCCACTGTGTGCAGAGGCCTTTTTACTCTTTGTTATCAACCTCAACCATCTTCTGAAATAAGCAAAGTTCCCTCCGAATGTGGTTCCATAGAGGGAGGTGTCCCCCCCACACACACACATCGCTCCGACCCGACTGTGTGTCCAGAGAGGGAGGTCCCCCCCACTGTGTGTCCAGAGGAAGAGGGAGGTCCCCCCAACTGTGTGTCCAGAGGAAGAGGGAGGTCCCCCCAACTGTATGTCCAGAGGAAGAGGGAGGTCCCCCACAGTGTGTTCAGAGGAAGAGGGAGGTCCCCCCAACTGTGTGTCCAGAGGAAGAGGGAGGTCCCCCCAACTGTGTGTCCAGAGGAAGAGGGAGGTCCCCCCCACTGTGTGTCCAGAGGAAGAGGAAGGTTCCCCACTGTGTGTCCAGAGGAAGAGGAAGGTCCCCCACTGTGTGTCCAGATGGAGAGGGAGGTCCCCCCCACTGTGTGTCCAGAGGAAGAGGGAGGTCCCCCCCACTGTGTGTCCAGAGGAAGAGGGAGGTCCCCCCACTGTGTGTCCAGATGGAGAGGGAGGTCCCCCACTGTGTGTCCAGATGGAGAGGGAGGTCCCCCCCACTGTGTGTCCAGAGGAAGAGGGAGGCCCCCCCACTGTGTGTCCAGAGGAAGAGGGAGGTCCCCCCCACTGTGTGTTCAGATGGAGAGGGAGGTCCCCCCCACTGTGTGTTCAGAGGAAGAGGAAGGTCCCCCACTGTGTGTCCAGAGGAAGAGGGAGGTCCCCCCTACCGTGTGTCCAGATGGAGAGGGAGGTCCCCCCACTGTGTGTCCAGAGGAAGAGGGAGGTCCCCCCTACTGTGTATCCAGAGGAAGAGGGAGGTCCCCCCACTGTGTGTCCAGAAGAAGAGGGAGGTCCCCCCTACTGTGTGTCCAGATGGAGAGGGAGGTCCCCCCACTGTGTGTCCAGAGGAAGAGGGAGGTCCCCCCACTGTGTGTCCAGAAGAAGAGGGAGGTCCCCCCTCATATCCGAAGTTCCTCTGCATTTTCCCATGCTTCTTTGGTCTCAAGGCTGCTGGCTGGCCGTGCTAATTTTGGGCTTAGAGCCCACAGGATTGTGTGAGTCACATCTTAAAATAAACCTCTGTCTCTATATCTGTGCGCACTCGGCTCTATTTCTGGAAGTCTGAGTAATAGCCAAGGAAGACGTGGTTTGCGCCCAGCCAACCCCTCCCAGCCAGCACCTGCCTGTACTCCCCTCACTCCTGAAAGTTCCGGCAAACACCAAACATGGGGCTTAGCGGGTAGAGGGCTGACGTAGCGTGCGGGAAGCCCTGGGTTGCCTCACCAGCAACTGCTAAACTGGGTTTGGTGACGTAGCCTACCATCCCAGCACTGGGAGGTGAACCAAGAGCATTCAGCAGTCCAACGTTACCCTCAGCTACATAGTAAGC